CTGATATTTTATATTTGCAATTTTCATGCCAATATTAGTTTGCAAGTCATGTTGGTATTTTTAAAATCTTTTGTACTTCTTTGCCTTGAAGACTAAAAGTCGATTGAACAAATTACTGCAGTTTATTAACAAAAAGAGATCCTATTGAATATGAATGCAATGAAATTTTTAATTAAGTTTTCATTTCTTTCTTGTCTGAATAATCTGAAATTCTGCAGACGAATTAAGAACTATGACAATGTGATTATGTCTTGACTATGACCTAGTATGCTCTCCCAGATCATCACAGCTCAAGATCAATACGTATTGTTAAATTTTTAAACTGTTATTACTATTTCTTTGTTATTTTACTAGCGACCACTCCCGGCGTCACCTGGATAGGATCTATTAATGTGGCTGTGGCCTTCAGATTAAAAAACTGCAGTGTAAGCACTGATATTTGGCTAATGATATTGTGATCAAATATGTACGAGTGTGTTGCCTATTCGGCCGGACTTCTAGACAAAAAGAAACCTTACACCTAGCACCTTAAGTTTACACGTTTTAAATGCTCCCACTCCGAAAGTTAAATCTTATTTAGGCAAATAAAAAAAATATTGCCTTGTAAATATAAAAAAAATATCATACTATTGTCACGTTATTATTTTATTTTATAATAAATAAATAATAACAACAATTTTTTTTACAATGTTTAATAACACTACTTATAAAACTAAACTAATATAAGTACTTCTAAAGAGATATTTAATAACACTACTTGTAAAACTAGACTAATATAAGTACTTCTAAAGAGATATTTAATAACACTACTTGTAAAACTAGACTAATATAAGTACTTCTAAAGAGATATTTAATAATACTGCTTATAAAAAAACTAATATAAATACTTCTAAGAAAATACTAAGTTGACTAATAATAATAAAAAAAAAACGCAAATAAAATAAAATTAACAGGTCGCGGGTTCGACGCCTTTCAGGATCAGGAGAAAAAGCAAGTACTTCCCTGGCACGACTGGCGGCGAGTCCGGCGGAAGTGGTTGGAGATATGTGTCCTTTATAGACCGATTTCGCTTGCGAATTCAATGTATATTTTATATATATGTATTTCATTTAATTCCAAATCCTCCCATCTTATCTCGTTTAGAAATAAAATAATAAGAAGGATGTCTCAGCCCCTGGCGAGGTTCCCTGGAACACACAGTCGAAATCTTTCATGAGCCTTGCCTCCAAAGTAGGTAATATTATACGCCCACCGCCAGAATCGACTAGGCGAGTAAAACTGATAAGTTTGGTGTGGCGGTACGTGCTACCGGAACGGAGGCAAGAAAATAAAGTTATATCAACTAAGCATCTACTATGAAAAGACATACACAATTACGTGGTAAAATAACTAGCATGTGACATAAAATTAAATTACACACTAAGTATCAATTGTCTAAACTTCAAAATCAAAGTAACATAATATTTGTTACACTATTGTAATACATATATTATAAATTTGCTCACACTTACCCAATATAAGGGGAACAACCGTTAATATTTAATAATTATTAACAAACCTATAAAAAGCTATTAGCTATAATTTGCATAACGTATGCGTTTTGAATTATTTAATATAGATGCAGAAATGCATTTAGGCGACTGGACCTTCACGGTCACACCGAGGTCACTAGTCAGCCGCGCGGACTATTCATGCACCCCCACTTGTCTTCGCGCGAATTAGATGACACATTACAATACCCCGCTGGCCACCCAAGGATTTTTCTTCCTATAAGTAGAAAAATCCGCAGCAAAACCAAAAAATATGCTATTTAGACAATTTAAAATCTTTTATGTGCCATGGCCCTAAATATTTACCGTGCATGTCCTCCAATTCGTACACTAGAGGTGACCTCTTTTTAGTTATGCGGCATTTAATAAATTTTGGGGCTAATTTTTTATTAAAATATTTGTGTTTATCACTCAGATAGTAAGTGCGCTTAAATACAATATCGCCTTCGTTAAATTCTGTGAACCTTCTCCTTAAATTATAGCGTTTGGAATTTTGTTGATGATGATGCCATAGTGATGCCTGAACTTTGTTGAATATTTTAGCGAGATAACCGATGTTCTCAGCATAGGCGTCTCGCGGTAAGAAAACAATTTCATCGCCAAGGTCGTTGTCAACGTAGTGAGAACCACATATTACCAATTCACGCCCATATACAAGGAATGAGGGAGTGTAACCAGTAACCTCGTTAACGGAGTTGTTTATTGCAAACAGTATTTTAGGCAAATATACATCCCAAGAACGCTGATCTTCTTTCACAAAGGTCGATATACAGGTGACAATAGTTTTATTATAGCGTTCCACCAAATTAACCTGAGGAGTATATTTAGGTGTAAGAAAAACGTTAGGAATATTATACTTATTAAATAACGCAATGGTCTTCTCACAAATAAATTGGCTGCCATTATCCATATACACCGTTTGGGGAATGCCATGTGTTAAAAATACAGAGTCTTCCAGATGTTTAATTACAATGTCGGCTGTAGCTCTTCTTACCGGAAACGCTAAACAATATTTGGAGAAACAACATGTTACGACTAAGATATAAGAATTTTGTTTTCTACTAACTGGCAGGGGTCCGATGAAATCAATTGAAATAATTTGGAAGGGTCGGCAACACTGTTTAGGTCGTCCCATTTCTCCTAACACATTATGAGTAGGGAGTTTATAAGTTAAGCAGATGTCACACTTCGTAACAAACTTTACGACGTCCCGATGCATACCTGGCCAAAAATACTGCAATGCTAAACGGCGATAAGTTTTATGGATGCCTAAATGACCTGACGTGGGTTCTGCGTGATTTTCTTTGATAACGTGTTCTCGTAATTCTAATGGAACTACTTCTTTCCACGAAAACTCTGTAGTTAATAAACATTTATTTTTTGAACACCGATATAGCTTTTCCGCTTTGATAAGAAAATTTTCATATTTACTTGGATTGTTCATACAACCATTATAAATGTCTAGATACCATTTATCATTCGTTGTTAAGTAAGATTTTGCTGTGGAAATAGAAGAAACTACGACAGCGCGAGATAACGCGTCTGGAATAATGTTATCAGCACCACGTCTATGCTTGATAGTAAAATCAAAAGAAGATAGCCTAATGCCCCATCTTGCAAGCCTGCCCGTAGGGTTGTTTAAAGAGAGAAACCACTTTAATGCTGAATGATCAGTGTAAACTACAAAAGGTTGACCATTTTCAAGATAGCAACGCCAGTGTTCTAATGCTACTATTACAGCTAATGTCTCTCTCTCGGTAATGCTGTAATTCTTTTCTGCAGCATTTAGTGACTTGCTCATATAGGCAACAGGATGTTCTTTGCCATCGACTGTTTGAGTTAACATGGCACCTACTCCATAATTACTGGCGTCTGTGTGAACTTGGAAGGGCAAATTATAGTTAGGACAATGTAAGACTGGTGCAGATACTAAACATTCTTTTAGCTTTTTAAAAGCTATGTCTGCCTCTGGTGACCAGTAAAATTTTGGAGCACCCTTGCGATTTGAAGTAAGTTTATTAAGAGGCCCAGCTATAGTGCTAAAATTTGGCACAAAACGTCTATACCAGGTGGCTGTTCCTAAAAAACGTTTTACATCTTTTTTTGAAGATGGTGTTGGATACTCTAAAATAGCTTTTACCTTTTCAGGGTCTGTTCTGAGACCCTGGGCGTCTATTACGTAGCCCAAATATTTCAGACGAGACCGAAAAAATTGGCTTTTTTCAAAGTTTATTGTTAAATTTGCTTCCTTTAACTTATTTATTACACGTAATAATAAAGAAACGTGTTCATCGAATGTGTTAGAAATAATAATTATATCATCGAGGTATGCAAATACCTTAAGATCAAATGAACCAAATAATAAGTCTACAAGCCTTTGTTGGGTTGCAGGTGCATTGGTAAGGCCGAAAGCCATCCTCTTAAAACAAAAGGTCCCACGACCTTGGACATAAAAGGCAGTTTTTTCGCGATCGCGTTCTGAAATTAAAATTTGCCAGAATGCTTTAGAAAGGTCTATACTAGATATAAATTTTGCGTCTCGCAGATTATCTAGAATTTCGGAAACATATGGCAAGGAATAAGCATCGCGTTTGGTTACAGAATTTAACTTGCGACTGTCTAAGCAAATGCGCGGTTGGCCGTTTTTTTTTGTAACAATTAAGATTGGAGAGGACCAAGAGCTCTCACAAGGTTGAATTACGTCCAATGAAAGCATCTCGTCAACTTGCTGGCATAAAATTTGCTGCTTTACAGGGGACATTCGATAATAACGCTGTCGTATAGGTTTCGTGTCACCCGTATCAATAGAATGACATACAAGAGAAGTACAACCTAAGCCCTTGCGTTCGGAAGAAACGTCCTTAAATTGTTCAATTATGTCGTCAGCAATCAAGCGTTGGTTGGCATTAAGGGATGCGTATGAATGTATATGAGATTTTAATATTGATTCATTCGTGTTTGAATAATAATCGGTGAGTTCTCTTTTATATTCAATGCAGTTGATGTATTTTGGACATATGTTAAATTTTTTCCAGAAATCAATACCTAATATAAGAGAGGTCTCTATTTCAGGAACTACAAATGTCTTCAAAGTATAATAATTGTTTTCAAAATTAAATGGGAGATTAATATATCCTAAGCAATTAAGTTTTTGTCCACCGGCTGCTGTTATAGAGACTATTTCATCAGTGCGCACAGCAAATCCTTTATCTATCAGTAAGTTGTGTGCATTATTGCCTAGTAAGGTGACGGCTGAGCCAGAATCTAATAACCCCCAAAATTTTGTATTTCCTATTTTGACTGATAAATAAGGTCGCACGTCGTTAGGTGGTTTATTAAGTAGAATTGTAGCAACTGTATAGCTATTAAAAAAATTATTAATAAACTTCAACCACTGTTTCCAATCGGTATTATTAGAGTGGTTGACGAGGTTGCTACAATTCTGCTTTATTAGTTTTTTGAACTAGACGGAATACTTGTACAATCTGGACAAGTGTAAAATGTGTAATCATCACGGCCACATTTGAAACAAAATACTTTGCGTTTTTCTGTACATTGTCTTAAGTTGTGTGTATCAACACGACACCGGGGGCAAAACTTTTGTTTACTTTCGTCATATTGAATAGCGTCAATTGGTTTATTATGACCATAAACTCTTTGTTGCCGTTGCGGATAAGTGTTGTTTAAAACATTAGAATTGGGAGAATATTTTTTATAAAGGTTACTTGAATTAGGTATAGGTTTATTATAATTATTATAAGCTTTATTGCAATTAAATTTATTAGTGGCAGAATAGTACATTTTATTTTTTTCTGCTAAATTAGTGAGTGGCTTAAATGCAAATTCGGGTGCTAGTGTGGCTGAATTTATTTTAGGAGGTTCATGATATTTATTAAGACAAGACTGTACATTCTCATAATTTTTACAAGCCGTACGTAAGACCTCAATAGATTTAAGATCAGGCACTGCAATTAAAGCGCTAGCATAACACGGTTTGATATTGTGCATAATAATTTCTAACTGATCTTCCTCCGAAGGTTTTTTAAATAAACGGGAAAACATGCCTGACATAATGGCTAGATAAATAGTAATATTCTCAGTTTCACCTTGCGTACGAGCTTTTATCTCGTCTAATAAGCGATAATCATGATCAGGAATAACAAAAACATCCTTCAGTAATTCGCATAATCTATCCCAAGACGTAACATGTGATCTTACACTGCGAAACCAGTGTAAAGCATCACCAACGAAAATTTCTGTTCCAAAATCTATAATTTTAGAAGAGGGAATACCACGGGCTGTTATATAGTCGTTTATACGTTGGACAAACGAAAGTACGCACGTTTTTCCATCAAACTTAATACTAGGTAAGTCCGAAGAATGAACTCGATCACATGTAACAACAATAGGGGACGGTGTAATTGTAAGAGCATCTGTAAATTCAGATGAGGAATCAGTATCAGGCTTAAGATGTTCTAAGTTTTTAAAATTTGTATTTAGCTTGAGCCTGAGGCTTTCTAGAATATCTGTAGACTTTTTATCTACAGCATCCAGACGTTGAATCCTATGAAATAGATGGTTAAGTAAGTTTTGAGTACGTTTATATAAATTTTTATCATATTTCACTGATAATGTTTTTAAATTTGTTTCTACTTTAATAAGACTTTCGCGGATGCCCTCTACGTCTACAGAAAACTCAAACCCAGATTCAATAATATCATCCGAAGGCATCACATTGGCTAATTTGACTATCTGCCTGCGTAATTCTTGAACGTTTTCTCCGGGTGTGCCGCCTCTAATGGCCACCTCATAGCTTAGTTCGTTTTTTTGTAAGGACAAAAATTGAATTTCGTATGACATAATTTAAGAAGTCTAAGAAAATCCTTATACTAGGTTTATGTGAGCAGGTTTAAAATTCTATAATTATACAATAAAACTAATTTGTTTAAGTAAGAATCCTCCGTCCTGTTACAATTTTGGTAATAGTAATCCCCTAAGTTTTTTTTAAGGATGCTCGTAAAAATTACTACACGGGAAAGCAAAAAAATAAAGAGAAAAAAAAATGTAACAATAGGGTGCAACTGTAGTATATATTTGCTTTAATAAAGCTTATTATTAAATATATTAATAAAACCAAAATATTTTATTTTTGTACGTATACAAATTAGACACAATAAGGATACCACTAAAATTAAAACATTATATACACTGCAGTTGCAAAAGTATAAAAGGCAAAATAAAAGTCATAAAAAAAATCAAAAGGTTTACAATATACACGCACACACCACTAAAATTCCTGATCCTGAATAACCGAGTTGAGGCGCCAATGTCACGTTATTATTTTATTTGATAATAAATAAATAATAACAACAATTTTTTTTACAATGTTTAATAACACTACTTATAAAACTAAACTAATATAAGTACTTCTAAAGAGATATTTAATAACACTACTTGTAAAACTAGACTAATATAAGTACTTCTAAAGAGATATTTAATAACACTACTTGTAAAACTAGACTAATATAAGTACTTCTAAAGAGATATTTAATAATACTGCTTATAAAAAAAACTAATATAAATACTTCTAAGAAAATACTAAGTTGACTAATAATAATAAAAAAAAAACGCAAATAAAATAAAATTAACAGGTCGCGGGTTCGACGCCTTTCAGGATCAGGAGAAAAAGCAAGTACTTCCCTGGCACGACTGGCGGCGAGTCCGGCGGAAGTGGTTGGAGATATGTGTCCTTTATAGACCGATTTCGCTTGCGAATTCAATGTATATTTTATATATATGTATTTCATTTAATTCCAAATCCTCCCATCTTATCTCGTTTAGAAATAAAATAATAAGAAGGATGTCTCAGCCCCTGGCGAGGTTCCCTGGAACACACAGTCGAAATCTTTCATGAGCCTTGCCTCCAAAGTAGGTAATATTATACGCCCACCGCCAGAATCGACTAGGCGAGTAAAACTGATAAGTTTGGTGTGGCGGTACGTGCTACCGGAACGGAGGCAAGAAAATAAAGTTATATCAACTAAGCATCTACTATGAAAAGACATACACAATTACGTGGTAAAATAACTAGCATGTGACATAAAATTAAATTACACACTAAGTATCAATTGTCTAAACTTCAAAATCAAAGTAACATAATATTTGTTACACTATTGTAATACATATATTATAAATTTGCTCACACTTACCCAATATAAGGGGAACAACCGTTAATATTTAATAATTATTAACAAACCTATAAAAAGCTATTAGCTATAATTTGCATAACGTATGCGTTTTGAATTATTTAATATAGATGCAGAAATGCATTTAGGCGACTGGACCTTCACGGTCACACCGAGGTCACTAGTCAGCCGCGCGGACTATTCATGCACCCCCACTTGTCTTCGCGCGAATTAGATGACACATTACACTATATAGAAAAATATAAACGAAATTTATAAAAATTTACTAAAACCCTCTCCTATAAAAAAAAGAATATCATGCTATATTAGGAAACCATGAGTGAACTTTATAAAAATTGCGTGCAGCATAAGAGAATCCAATTCTAAATATATTAAAAACTAATTGCCAAAGAATCGCGTAATAAAATAAAATGGTGAGTCTTACTTAGTTTGAAGAGCACCTCCTGCCGTCTCTCAACTGTGTGCACTATTTCCGTTACCACGAATCCTAGCAGCACTACTGACAACACTACTACACTATACTACACGATTGCTGTGGCCTATAGACATCTACATCTATGCTCGACTACGAATCAAACTGCAGATGCGTTGTAACCCGTGAGGACTAAGACGGAATGCCTCGTTTCCAGAAAAAGGGGTATCCGCTTCTCTACACTCACCATACAAAAGACATCAGCATTGAACTGCTATTTTACGCTGGTATTCTGCAAAAGCGTGCTAACACATTCTTGCTACAACTATGTATATTACTAATATAGCTGCAGCATAGCTCTAATATATCTTCACATTCAGTACTAAATGCTTTGTTCTCAGCCATTTTACAAATAAATCAAAACCTTGTTGGCTTAATTTGTAAAATATACGTTATAAGTTCATTAATATCCTCAGATGTAGATATTCCTGCACAGAAGTCGAATTGCACGCAGGTTAGGAGATAATATGCTTTTAAGTTTATACTATAGAATAAGCGTGATTAACGACTACACAATCCACTTAATAGCAAGTGATGCTGAGGCCCATAGACATCTACATCCATCCCTGTTATGAAATTATTTAACAAATCAGAACAACTTAAAGTCTCTAATCGAGTTCGACCATTGTAGTGTGATCAAAATAATGTAGGCATTAAAATGGTCTTACGGGTGTGTAAAGGTTAACTTGCTGCCACAGACGTGTAAAATTCAGCTTACGCGGCAATCCCCTCGCCGCTTGTGAACTGTAAGTATGAACATTATATTTTCCCTCTCTTCTGACAATATACCTGGCAGTGTCTTACGTGGTACATGTCTTTCATTTTAAACGCCTAAAAACCCACATTATTACACCATGAAAGTATTTTTATTTACTATTTAAGTGTAATTAAAACATGAAATGAAACAAAAAAAGATTAAATCTTATTATAATGCAATGATGGATGTATAGAGCCGTTGAGTCGCTGTGACGTGTTGGCCGACTTTGGACTTACCCAGTTTAGTTATTTACTTACTTTCTCACACATCCTTCTCCCGATGTGATCACCATCAGACAAATATATCTGAATCTGTACTTAAATTGCATTTTTAAATAATTTTAGCACAAGCCATACACTTATATTAAGAATAGATGTTATGTCTCAGTTGAGCAAATAATTCATAACTTTAATACCTTTCGACATGTGTTGAAAAAAATATCCCACTAATTTTATATCAAAAGGCAAACTGTATCCGTTAAATCGTAGACCACGTTTATGATTTGCGCCGCAAAGTAAGTCAAAAGTGTTATCTGAATCGCTCGCTGGTAAAACATGACTTTACAAACATGAGTACAGATATATGCAAAAAGAATTTCAGAGCATGATCCAAGTGATTTTGTTCCACATACGTACATATTCTTATCTTCACATCCATAAAGATGAGTTAAACGGATATTTAAAGAAAACTTTAAGCTTAAATGCTTACTTACAGATATATACAAATAGAATTTCAGAGCATGATCCAAGTGGTTTTGTTCCACATACGTACATATTCTTATCTTCACATCCATAAAGATGAGTTAACCGGATATCTAAAGAAAACTTTAAGCATTTAAGGCAAAATATTATGAAGTACTTTTACTCTATTCCATAATATGACCAACGATAAATTAAAATGAAATGAAAACTCTTTACTTTTAAACGTAAGAATTTTTTTTCTGAATCGCCAACGCATTTTAATTTAATACCGTCTAAAAATGAGGTTCACGAATAAGCACCTAATATACAAGATTCAGCTACGACAGCAATCTCTAGTATTTTATTCGTAATCTACGTACTGAAAGCGATTACGCTAATTATAAATCCAATTGTAGCTTATAATGTACAATATTTATAGCTGTCAGTAGCTAGATACAACATCTAGTAACGGCACGATGTAACAGCGGCATTATTAACAAGTAAGTAATATCTTATGAATTTTCTATTCTATTAAGAGTGGTAAGAGCAGCTAAGTACATTTTGTAACTATTTTTTTTCGATCCCTGTCTCTGCCTTCTAGCACCGTTTCTGTGGCGCTATGTCGATAACGACTCATCAAACATAAAATTTAAAAAATACATATAAACACTAACTCGCCCACATCACTTTCTCAGTCTTGATATTTTATCGGCATAAGACAGAAACAAGCGCTCAGTCCATCTGATGGTTAAGGAATGCTGACACCCATTGATACCGACATCTGTTATCTATAAGACACATTCAATAAAACATATTCTTTGTTTTTTTTTGCAGTAAAAGGCCATAAGAGGGCCATAAGGGCTATTTACAACCTTAAACCGAGAGATTCTCGTAAAGAAAAATTTAAAGAAATAAATATATTAACTTTGACCAGAAACAGAAACAGAAACAGAAACTTTTTTATTCAATATAAATTATAAATAATACTTATTGAAAGTCACTCTTTTGTTTGATTACCACTGGTTTGGAAAAAACCTCTGTCCTGGGAAGAACCAGCAAGAAACCCAGCGGGACTTTTTTTTTTTAAATAACAGCTTACAATCATGATGTTACACAAATTAACAACACAACAAATTAGAAATAGCTTGGTAGCGATCACCTCATTTCCAGGGGTTATTATCATCCATAAATTCCTTAATATTATAATAACCCTTTTTATACAAACTTAGTTTAATAAAGTTTTTGAACTTTGAACAGGTCAAACTTTGTATATTTTCTGAAATTTTGTTGTAAAAGCGTATACATCGCCCCAAGAATGAATTACTGACTCGATGGAGTCGAGTAACTGGTACTACTAGCTTGTGTCTGTTCCTAGTATTTACAGAATGAATATCACTTATTTTTGTAGAACTACTTTTATTTTTGTGTACGTTTATTACATTTTCATAAATGTATTGAGAGGCCAAAGTTAATATATTAATTTCCTTAAATTTATGTCGCAGCGACTCTTTAGGCTTTAAATCATAAATTGGTCTTATGGCCCTCTTCGGCAAAACAAATATAATTTCAGTGTCAGCTGCGTGTCCCCATAGCAAAATACCATACGACATTATGCTATGGAAGTAGCTGAAGTAAACTAGTCTAGCTGTTTCAACACTGGTTAAACTTCTAATCTTTTGTACAGCATATGCTGCAGAACTAAGTCTGCTTGCTAGTTTTGATATATGGTGGCTCCATTGAAGCTT